AGGAGAAGCGGCGGCTTTTTATTTCCAAGCCGCGGCGGCCGCGGCCAATGGCACCGCTTCGAATCTCCCGCGCTTAGTTCCACCAATCGCGGGAGATTCTTAACGGGCCAATCAGTGCGGCTCGCTCGACCAATCCGGTCGCCGCGCACTTTAGCCAATCGCAGCGCGGGGTTTACGAGTATGTTAATTGACTGTACAGAACACTAACATTTTAATCTATGACAGTAAATACATCATGCCAACGACACTTTCAAATGTCAAGGACACTTTCAAACAACATGAGAACGAGGTAGAAAAATGGAAGGAACTTTCACTGTAAAGCACTTCGGTAACTGCAGATTCTGGAGTTACTGAATCAAGCCTGAAGGTTAAATGTCTCTAACCCCACCTTCTTAAACTTAGTGAACTAAGGAGTAGCATGCCAAAGATTCTACCAAATGTTATCCTGTCTCTTAAGATTTAAGGATGTTTCACCTCTCTTTGCTTATATAACACTTCTTCCTTATTTGTGCCAAGGTAGAGTAATCTCCCTTGGCCTTTACAACTGTTTCAAGTGAATTGGAGTTGACATAAAAATAACATTATGAGGACTTGGCCAAAAACAAAATATTTATGCCATGGTTGGGTATAATGAACAAAGGCACCAAGAATAGAAATGGTGATCTTATTTCAAACGTAATGCAAGTTTTTGCCAATCAGTTGTCCTCCAAGGGAGCAATATTGTGAAATGCATATAAAATTTAAAAATGCTAAAAATATTAATGGATTAATGAATTCATGAAAGAATAGAAAAAGAAAAAAAGATGGAGGAAAAAATGTTATCTTTTGTTTGGGTTTCGATCTCTTCCTAAATTTATTGGTTTGGGATGTTATTAAAAAAACCTTCTACCAATAAGAGCATTTCCGCCACAGAATCAGCTGCTTAGAGATGTTGGACTGTTCTTCAGTGGATGTGTTCAAGTAGAGGTTTGTCTGCCATCAGCCTGGTATGCTTTAATTTGGATTATTGTACGAAACAAGGGGATGGGCTTAATGGTCTATTTGGCTTTTTCCAACTCTATGATTCTAGCACATTCTAAAGCTTGCATCATTTGTTTCTGAGGCATCAAGGACTTTTTGTTCCATTTTTTTTTCTCTTTCTCAGTATGTACTAAAATTATTCTTTATTTTTTCAGGCAAAATATGTAGTGTATAAATAAACCTAGTAATCCACTAGGAGACTGTCTAAGCCAGGGATATCAAACTCAAGGCCTGTGGGCCGGATCCAGCCTGCAGGGTGCTTAGATATGCCCTGCGGGGCCATCCTGGAAACAGTGAAGGACTGACCTGTGGTGCCTCTGCCAGCAAAAATGGAGCTCGCAAAACATAGTCACGGAACCAGTAGTAACACGGGTTGAATCCCACCACTGGATAGGTAGTTACTGATTTAAAGAATCATTTCTACAAAGATAGAAATATACTGAAACTCCGCACAGTATATAAAAATTAAGGCAGTTTAGAAGATATTCCTTACTTACAAGAACTTCTAGTACTAGAATTTGAAATTAGATCAGTATTCTTGATCATTGTGAAGTTGGAAGGCTATAGGAATTGATGGGTTTATTTAAAAGCCACCAGACCCTGGGTAGCTTACAACTCAACCAAGGGAATTTGAAGCATATTTACAGATATATGGCAAGCAACAGAAAAGAATTATTAGTTCTAATGAAGCTATCCCAGTAAATATAAAGAATGTCACAGTGATCCATAGATTGGATGAGATGTACTGTACATACCATTTACCAGAGAAGGACTTAACAGATTGCACAAGTTGTCATACAATATACTTAATTTCATGTGCTAAGAAAATAATGCTTACTGTTGCATCATCCAATGCAGATTTAGAGCCCTACATGGAGAGGGAGATGCCAGGTGTTTGAGCTAGTTTTAGAAAAGGCCAAACAAAGAACATGAGACATTATAATTTGCTGATGCATACTGGATAATTGAGAAAGCCAAAGAATACCATAAAGAAGCCGACATATACTTCATTATAGAAAAGCCTCTGATTGTGCCAATCATGTCAAATTTTGGAGTGTCTTTAGGAAAATGGAAATCGAAGAACATCCTGTTCTCATGTGAAGGCTATGCACAGAGCAGGAAGCCACAGTCTAGACAGAACATGGCCGATTCCAGGTTGGCAAAGGAGTAAGACAAGGTTATATCCTCTCCCTTATTTATTCAACTTATACACCAAATATATGTTAAGGAAACCTCAATGGATTGGAAGTAAGTATGGTTTTAAAATTAGAGCAAGAAATATCCATTACTTGCACTATGCTGGTGATAATACTCTGATGAGAATAAAAATGCAAATAATCTGCAAACTCTAATAATGAAAGTCAAGGAGCATAATTAAATAATGAGACTAAAGATTTAACTAATGACAGCAGGCTAAGTAAAATTGACAGTGCAGATAGTGAATGGTGGATAGCTTTTGCCTTTTAGGAACCAGCAATCATGAAATACATCACAGATTGGAATATGGTAAAATAGCAAGGAAAACTGGTAAAGATGCCAGCATGTGTCTATACTTATAAAAATCAGAATCTTGCCATTCTCTGTGACTATGGAAATGAAAAGCTGGACTTTGAAGAAATCCCAAGATTTAGATAAACTAGAACATTGGAGAAACATCTTACCCAATAACAAAACATTTCTGTTTTGGGACAAAAAACCCCAAGTGGCCCCGAAGTCATCACCCTGATTTAAAGAAGACTCTATTAGTCACAGTGAAAAATTCCAGTGGAAACCCACTCAACTACAAAGCTTTTATAAACATTAACATAATCCTCATTTAATAAAGCAACACAAATCAAGTAAATCTATCACGTCAGCTCCAAAAAAAAACCAACCAAACCTACATGGAAAAAGAACATCACATTTTTTTCTTCTAAAATGCAAGGAATCTAGGATGGCACCCAAAGTATTCACTTTATGTTTGGATTTTTTCACTCACATTTCCAGTAAGTCATTTTACTGAATGTTCCCAATGAAGATTTTAAAATGACAGAGTTACACATATACAAGTAATCCTCAATTTACAACAGTTCATTTAGTTCTAACCGTTCAAAGAACTCCACTGAAAAAAGTGACATGACCATTTTTCACACTTATGACCATTGCAGCATCCTCATAGTCACATGATCAAACTTCAGAGCTTGGCAACCGATTCATATTTATGACGGTTAGTGTCCAGGGGTCATGTCACCACCTTTTTTCAAAACCACCTGGCAAACAAAGCCAATGGGGAAGCCAGATTCACTGAACAACCGTGTTACCAATTTAACAACTGCAGTGATTCGCTTAACTGTGGCAAGAAAGAAATGCGTAAAATGATGCAAGGTCCCAGAAGTTTTCCCAAGCGAAAGATTAAGACTCGAGACAAGGCTTGCAAAAATAACAGCTTTTTTATTCTTTGGCCAAAGCAAAAAGTCTGGGTGAATACTATGTCCAAAACATACAGACAAAATGCATGTTAAGGAATAGCCACACCCTGCGAGAGTGGCTCAGAGTATTATATACATTTTACGCTGATAGAAACTAAGTTTATCCAATCAGAGACAAAGGTTTATGACTAATGTGGGCAATGTCTTACCCATGCCCTCCCCTTCTTTATCCATGGAGCGTTCTTTGTCCGTGCTCTGTCCATACTTTGTTATTTTACACAGTATCCCTTGTCCTGGTGTGTTCGTGCTCCTGGGCAGCCCCCTCCCCTTATCTATGGAGCAGGATGTTCCTGGGAATTGTCTCCAAGGGTGTGTCTAGCTCTGAAGCAAATTGCAGAGGCGAGAAACCAGATAGAAAAGGACACAATTCTCTTACAGAATGAATTTATTTATTTTTATTTATTTTATTTTGTCAAGCGATTATTAGATAATAGGTATAAGTATAAACATGGTTATGAATACATGAAATGGATAGAATAAGAAAAAAAAAACAATAGGACAGGGAAGGTAGGCACGTTGGTTGGCTTATGCAAAAAAATGATGTCCATCCTTAGCAAAATAGTACAAGCAACTTTAACAGATGCAAAGAGCAAAGGTTAGATTGATTCATGTCACAATGTCCTTTCAGTGGGACAAAATTCACTCAACCACTGTCTCGCTTATTAACCACAGAAACGTTGGGGATCAATTGTGGTCGTAGGTCAAGAACCACCTGTACTCAGGACTACCTTTTCTTTTTTCTCCTGACCAGCCTAGACTTCCCACCTGAACCAGCCGCTTTTCAAGAAGCCAAGGAACAGAGTTGGTATTCAGCAGGTTCTGACCAGTTCTGGAGAACCGGTAGCAGAACTTTTGAGTAGTTCAGAGAACTGGCAAATCCCACCTCTGACTGGCCCTGCCCCCACCTCTTCTCTGCCTCCCATTGAGTCCCAGCTAATTGGCTGGGTCTTCTTTGGTTGCCCTGCACAGGAGAATGGAGCTGGAAAGTAGGTTAGTGGAGTGAAGAATGAGAATTTTACAGTATCCTTCCCCTGCCACACCCACCAAGCCAGACCCACAGAACCGGTAGTAAAGTTTTTGATTCCCACCACTGCCAAGGAAGGACTACAAATGCCATCACTCCCCGCCCCACAAGATGCTACTGGGGGGATGATGATGGTCCCAAGCCAGTTCAAGAGAGAAGCGAGCCGCCCGCGTTTGTATTTCTCCTTTGCCCATCAAGCGTCCCCACGGCAGCATTGCTTTAAACTAGTTAATCCTTATAAATGAATGGTCGTGGAAACGTGGCTCCCCCCCGCCCCCGCCCCCCTGCGGAAAAGACACCGAGCGACCGTTAACACGCAAGTCCGAAATAACCGCTCTTCCCCCTCCCACTTGTTTCGCTTTCGGCGCGTGGCCCAAAGGCGTGGCCGACGAGGCCCCGCCCTCTATGAGCAAGCTACCGTATTCCTTGCCCTTTGGCCGCGGGAGGCACCGCCCTCCTGGCGGCCGGACCAATCAGCGAGCGCCCTGTTGGCCAAGCCGGGTTCCATGCAGCAGGGAGTCCAAGATGGTGGCGCTCAGGGCTGGGAGGGAAGGCTCGGCGGCGGTGTTGACCGCGAGGAAGTTCTTGGTCGCCGCGTGTCTGTGCTTCAGCAGCCGCTTCCTCTCCCCGGCAGACGCCACAGGGCAGGCGGAGAGCGACGGCGGTCCCAGTGCGGCGGGGCCTCACCGGCGGTTCGAATACAAGTACAGTTTTAAGGGACCGCACTTGGTGCAGCCAGACGGATCGGTGCCCTTCTGGGTATTTACGGGCAGTAAGTAGCCGTCGTTCCTGAAGAGGGGAAACGGGTCTTCCTTTGACCTGGGGATCTATTCTGAGGGATCAGCGATTAGCCTTGGGAAGGGCCTCTGGGCATACACAGAGTGCAGTTGGTTTGCGGCTCAGCTTGTGGGGATCGTGGTTGGCTTACAAATCAAGGAAGAGATTTCTCTATAGTCTTAATAGGAACATATCAAAACGATTTAAGGGAGTGTTTAAAAAAAATCGTTTTTTTCTTGCATCGCCGTCTTCTCTCCAAAGGTAACATCCAGCCTTTGTGGGCTGCTGCCTCATCTTTCTTTAATGCGAATGGGTGTAAAGGAATGGACATTTTCGTTTTTCAATCCCAGAGATAGGTTGGGTTGAGAAAGAGAGTGACTGGCCCAAAGCTACAAAGTTATCTGTGTGGGTTTAAAGAATTATAAAGTATTCTTTCACAACTTGCCCTTTAGAGATAAATATTGCAAAGAATCCATCAGGGTGTTTCTTAATGGGAGTGAACCCCATCAATCACTCTTGAACCATTAGCTCAGACATATTGCCTTCTCCTGTGCAGATTCATCTTATAAATCCCTAGAAATTGGTAATAGAAAAGCAATTACTTGATCCACAATTTCTCTACCTGGCAAAAGCCAAAGTTCCTCTTCTTGATGAATCCCAAGGGGGCTTTTTCAAGAGACAACTGGACTTTCCTTGAGACAACTTGGTGACCTGGATGACTGAGAATCTCCATAAGGCATTTAGCTCTACTTGATGAGGGTATCTGGAAAAGAAAACCAGTTTGCTGTAGTAGTTAAGGTGCTGGCCTAGAACCCAAGAGACTGAGTTCTAGTCGCACCTTAGGCACGAAAGTCAGGTGGGTGGCTTTGGACCAGTCTAACTCTCTCAACCCAACCTAACACTCAGGGTTGTTGTTCTGGTGAAAATAGGAGTAGGGAGGAGTATTAGGAATCTTTGTCACCCTGAGTTGTTTATAAAAATAATAAAGGCAACATATACAGAATAAATTTGATGCTCTGAGTAGGTTAGCATTGGTCCACATTACCAATGTTTCGGAGCAACCTAATACAAACACCAAGGTAAGTAGGATACAAAATGTTATCAAGTTCCTGGGCAAATGTACTCATTGAAATCAAACCCAGATTGACCATATTACTGTATACCAGTGTTTTCCACATTTGGCTATTTTAAAATGTATGCACATCAACTCCCAGAATTTCCCTGACTAGGGAAATCCATGCATCTTTTGAAAAACACTAGCCTATAAAAAAATAACACTTTTTGCAACATATGATATAGTGAGCATATGATTACTGTTCAAGTGATCATATACTCACCATATCACATGTAGCAAGATTTTTTTAATAGTCTCTTGGAGATTCCATGAAGTCTCATGTTGGATGAGTGGAATGAGAATTCTCAAATAATCTTATCTCTTCTATACTAATAAATACTTTTCATAAATACTTTTTCTCCAACTCCGCAAGTCTTCCTGGTGTTTCTATTCCATACTTATTTAACATTGTCATTGAAAATTGTAAAAGTTATCTTTCTCCTTTTTGAGAAACTAAATAATTGAAGTCAAACTTTAAAATTTCATATTTGAGAAGTCTTCCAGCTCTTTCGTTAATATTTTTCCACTATAATGGGAGATGGCATTCTTGGCACTTTTGCCTTTGTGGCATAATGTATTGGTACAGGTACTATGATACTTTATTGTTAAAGTTTGTGATGTGCTTGAATTATAATTTGTAAAAAGTTTTAGGTTTTCAGGACCTGCTGGTAGATTATTTCAGCTATTTACTGTTTCCATTGAGAATTCTGCTTTCTAAGGCAGATGACTAATAATTACCTTTCATTATATGAAATCAACCATATCATACAACATTGAGCTGTTTCAGTAAGAGGTCTTTGGATCCCTGGTTCCTTCATTAAATTCATATTTTCCTGCTCTATTTTGGAATTACTTTATTATATAAGTTGGCTAAATTTGAAATAATACCCTTCTGCTTTAATCTTTATAGCTAGAAATGTCTTTTGTCTGTGTTCATGACTGCAGGATGATAATTTATATTCTGCCATACGGCTAGAATGCATATGAACAGATGGCAAATGTGATCCATTGGGTATTTCAACTTTAGCATAATAACAGGCTTTCATTTCTTCTTAATCTTACCTAGACTTGAAGTTAAAGATCAGATTTAGAGGAGTGACTTGTTCATATGTCAAATAGAATGCAAGTATCAAAATATGACTGAGTATCTTTTGTTCAATGTGTAAAATTAAGCTGATGTCTCCTTTTTTTTGGCCTGTCAATCAGTTCTTGATTATTTGCCATTCAATTTCCTATTCTTGAGTAGTTGAGTCAAATTTTGGAATTGACAGTATAAACTCTGGCAATATGGTGATTCGTCACTACAGCAGAGGTGTCTTCTGGACTTCAGTTCCCAGAATTCTGAGAGTTAAAAGTCCATAGTTCCCAAGGCTGGACATCCCTGATCTGTAGAATGAGAGACTGCCTTGTCCTGTTTTACATATGATCAGAATACCCATTCCTGGTACATAGACACACTTTTAAATTTTTTATCCAACCTAATTTATAATAAATTGCTTATCTGATGCTGATAACATTAAATAGTGGTTACTTTTGAACTCTGTTTTAGTGACAACTGACTCTAGGCTTTGCTTTTTTTAAAAAAAGTAACATGTTGACTTTTTGTTACTGATTAAATCAACACTGGAAATACAAAGCAAGTTACCTTTGATATTAACTCCAATTCCTGGACAAAAGCTAGCGTTTAACCTAATAGTCTTTTAAATTAGAATTGAACAGTTAAGAAAGTGCTGTGTTAATCTTTAAAACAATTTGGAATCAGCTTACACAAATTGTTGCTTATTAGCATGCTTCCTAACACCTTTTGGAATATAGTATTGCAATTGAAGAGTTTACTATACATGTTTACTATAACCTGCAAAATGGAATATAAATATATATTGTGATGTACGGTCAGCCTGCCTTTCATTTATGAAAATTGATTCTTTGAGGTCTGTTTTGCAGACCAGGGTTCCCCAATCTCTGGTCCGTAGACCAGCAAACAGGCCACAACATGCCAGAAACAGGGCTGCGCAAACAAGCGCCCCATCCATGGGAGGCAGGCAGCACATGAACACCCCCCCACACCATTCCACGGAAAAACTTATCTCCAAACCAGTCCCCATTGCCCCAAAGGTTGGGGACTGCTTTTCTAAACTGTGTACAGTAGCGCCTAGCTCAGAAAAAGCACAGTGTGTGTGTGTGTCCCGCTGTGATAAGATTAGGAGTTTCTTTTGGATTAGGTCCTGAATTCCTTTAATCTCGATGCTGCTGGATACCGTATCTGTCTCTGCAAGACTCAATGCAGAGCTTAACCAATATGAAAGAAACAAGAGTGCCTAAATCTTATTTCATTTTGCTAGTTAATTTTGATAAGTCAAAGAGAAGCAAGACACAGAGAATCAATTCACTGAGGTCCAGGATCCAATGGGGCTGCTGTTCTGACCCAAGCCTTGTTCAAATTAAACAAATACAAACTGTATAAAAGCAAAACTTTTTAAATGTGGCACTGGGAATTCTTTGCATTCCCAACCAACGGTTATTTAAACTTAATTGTCCTAGATAAAAGCAAGCCTTTTCAAGGTTGTAAAAGGCTGCCAAGACCAGAAATCTAATTACTGATAAATATCAACCAACAAGTTTCACAAACAAACCAGAGTTCGCAGGGCTTCAATGAGGACTCAGAGTCTAAAGAACTTATTTGCTTCCTGCAAAGAGCATATCCCCGAGGGCTGGTTTTTATCCCTTATGGGAAGGGCCATCCCCTTCCAGCCTTACTCCCTAGTTGCCCTTGCTGCTTCAGCTGCTCTCTCCTTCGAGCAGCCCTGCACACACACACACTGGGCACAGGCTCCCCGAGGTCCTCTGCTTCACTGCTGCCAGACTCCAAAAGCTCCGAAGGCAGCACCCCACTCTCCGATAGTCCTGGCCCCATCCCTGCAACCAGACACAGGACCCTCGTCCAAGTCCTCCTAGCCTCCCTGACTGGTTCCCTTTCGTCCTCGCTGTCAGAGACCTCTGCCGTCTGCACCTGCTGCTGGCAAACCACAACAGCTGCAAAGCTGGATGTTCCCAACAAACTCCTGGCTCTCTGATATGCTACACACTGTTTAATGCTACTTTGTTCTTGCTAGGATGTGTCTGATTCATGCCAGATCTAACTCTACAGTATCCACAAACTAACTGTTTGGTTTCCACATCCCAGATATATATAGTAATGTGTTTTAGGACTAAAATTGCCTGAAGTTACAGTCTTGCAATTTGCAAAGCTAACTCAAGTTCCAAAAGCACTCCCCAACCCAGAAATTTCTTTTACATTTGGAACCTGGGAGGCGACTAGTGAGGCAAACAGCTATTTCTGAACTTAAAAGCAGATTTTAAAACCTTCAGTGCTTTTGTGTTCCCGATGACTAGCCTTGTTCATTGTGGTCAAATGGTATACAGGTAGTCCTTGAATTACGACCACAATTGGGATTGAAATTCCATCACTAAGCGATGCGGTTGTTAAGTGAGTCTTCAGCCCCACTCATTTCACAAGGTGGTGGTAGGCAAAATAGGAGAAAGGAATGTTGTGTGTTTGCTAGCTTGAGTTATTTTTTAACAAATAATAAAGGCAGGATTTTTTAAAAATCTAATGTAATTTTTGGGGAATTCTTTTAACAAGTATGGTTTTCGACATATTACTAAAAATGGTGATCTTCCTTTTTAGATGCTATCCCCAGTGCCGATCAGATCAGAATAACTCCTTCATTAAAAAGCCAAAGAGGATCTGTATGGACGAAAAACAAATCCATATTTGAATACTGGGAGATTGAGGTGACCTTCCGAGTGACTGGAAGAGGAAGAGTAGGAGCTGATGGATTGGTATGTTTAGTTTATTGTTATTGCACATCGTACAACAAAATCAAACACCGTCTTCAGTGCACATCATGACCATGAAAATAAACACAAACACACATGCTTCACACTCGACACATTGAATTGAAAACTCCTGACACCACACCAACACTGCACTATACAGTAGAATTCAACAGAGCTACTGCCCTGGGATAGAAGCTGTTTTTCAGCCTATTTGTCCTTGCTTTTTTTAAATTCTGTACCGTCTGCCAGATGGTAATAGTTTTTTAAAAAGGGTGCCCAGGATGAGATGGATCTTTGAGAATGTTTTGAACTTTCTTAAGGCAGCAAAGCTCTTCTAAAAAGGGGAGACGTAATACCAGCTGCAGTTTGCAAATGCTGGGTTGGAGGTTAGCAAAACTGCGTTCCGAGGCCCGAGTGCTGCTCTGTGGCGGGCTGAACTCCTGTCATCCTCTCCAGCTCCTTGATGGGGGCAGGAAAAGGAGCCTCCATGGGTCCTTGGTGATGGGCAATGGTGATGTCACCGACTAATCCTTTCAACCCAGAAGCAGGTTGGTGGCTTAAGCGGGTTAAATGGTGCCTTCCAACATGAATGGGATGGGAATGGGTCGGAAGTTTGCAAACGTGGCAGTTGCATGAATTGGGAGTGCCTACAAATTGCTCAGATTTTCATGTGTCTGAACAGGCAATCTGGTATACTGAGGGACAAGGATTAGATGGCCCAGTTTTTGGTGCAGCAGATAACTGGAATGGTGTTGGCATCTTCTTTGACTCCTTTGACAACGATGCAAAGGTGAGTGAAAGGACATTGAGGGATATGCTGTGGGTTGAACTTTAAATAGTTTGTCTGGACCTACTTGGTTTTTCAGTCTTCATATCTTGTCCTATCTTTATGCTTATTTTTTATTTCCTTCCCTCACAGAAAAACAACCCTGCGGTGATTGTTGTCGGCAATAATGGCAAGCTCCATTATGACCATCAAAAGTAGGTTGACTTTGATCTGATCTGTCTTGATTTTCCAGAAGAAAAATAATATTTATTTATTTATAGTTATATTTTTATGTTTTCTTAAGTTTTTGCGGGTACTTACATGTATGGTATTCAGCTTTGTTCGGGTATTTTCCCACGTCATTGTAGTTGTGCTTTTAAAGTTGTAGCAACGTTTCGGCAGAATCTCATCTGCCATCATCAGGCTTCTGTATAGTGTTCATCTGTGAGTCAGACTTTCACAGCCTTTTCTGTTTTAAATTTGGTGCTAGCCTATGCTGTGCCAGAATGGTTTTTTCTTCATCCTGATTGTTCGGGATTCTTGAATCAGGATGAAAAAAAAACCATTTTTCTTTTCTGACTGCGTTCTGTGTTCTGTGATGCGTGCACAAGAACACAGTCAGAAAAGAAGAAAATACTTCCTCCCTTTTCCAACACCTTAAAGCCACAGGACATGAAATTAATTTTGAGGGAACCAAATTAATCTCCAATACTGAACACTTCAACAAGAGAATAATCAGGGAAGCCATCGAAATAGAGAAACACCCCCATAACATGAATAAACGGGACGATGCCTCCCACCTACCAGACATCTGGAAACTAGCCCTCACCAACAAATGAGTCCCAGCCAATCTGCAAACATCAACTCCATCCACCAATCAAGAAATTGCAACACAGCCAACCTCCCCACCAGTGTATATAGGGAGACAGCAGCTCCAGTCACGCTTTGCTCGCACAAGCACGAAGCTGAAAGCACCAGCCTGAAGATGGCGAGTGGGACCTCGTCGAAACGTTGCCAAGATGCTCTCAATCTTACATGGGAAAAGACCCGAACACGCCAGACCTGCATACATGTACCCGTGAAAATCTACAAAAATATATACATGGGTGGGGGGGTATTCAGCTTTGTTCGGGTATTTTCCCATGTCATTAGTGGTTTTCAAGGGCAGCTCCAATGTAGAGCAGATTGTAGCAATCCTCTCATAAGGTGACCCAAGCATGAGCAATTGAATTGGCTCGAAAATGCATTTCTCGGTCCCCAGGCCAAGTGGTAGAAGTTCAATTGCTAGAGCAGTTTAGATCATTTTTGTCACTTGTCTCTTAAAAGTGAAATTCTATCCCACTTTCTTATCCTTCCCATCAGATTCCTTAAAGTCTTGGCTCATTTCCTCTTCGCCATGCTATTCCTTGCTCTGCCATCTCCTCAGCTCATAACTTCACCACCTACCCATCATGTATGGTGACAATGCCAGTCTTTTGCTACCCTCACCATGAACCGCCGACCTAACTAAGGACATACCTTGTGCTTGTAATCTTGCAGCTGCCCAGATTGTTAATGCTGGGAGTAGAGGTCTTTTCAGAAGGTTTATCCATTGTTCCCAGGGTTTTTTATTTGTTTCATGAGCCTTCCCACATCCATTCCAGGTTCAAGACTGACGTCTTAATGATGGATGTGTGCTGACGCATGCCACAGTAAACAATAACCATACTTCTTCTTAATCCAGGTTTAGATATTAAGTATTTCAGTCATGGGCTAAGGTGTTATTTGGTGAGATTGTAGTTTTTATTCATTGAATACAAGTAGTCCTCAATTTACAACCATTCACTAAGTGACCAATCAAAGTTACAACCCCCCAAAAACCCTGTGAAAAGTTACTTATGACTGGTCCTCACATTTATGACCATCGTAGCATCCCTGGAGCCTCATAATCCAAATTCAGCTGCTTGGCAACTGGCATGTTTTTACAATGGTTGCAATGTCCCAGAGTCATCTGATCACCTTTTGTGACTTTACCAGCAGGTTCCCAACAAGCAAAATCAATGGGGTAAACCAGATTCACTTAATGACCACTGATTTCACTGAACAACCACAATGATTCGCTTAAAAATCATGGCAAAAAAAGGAAAAGTGGAAGTTCTGGTCCCAATCCTGGTCATAAGTCAAGGACTACTTCTAGACGGCTTCTATTTTATGTTATTCAGATGGACCGTATGTCGTGTACATGGGTCTTTAATTTTCATCTGTGGATTATCCTGACTTGCCAAATTTGTATTGATAAGATGTTTCTGTTTTAAAGTGATGGGTCCACGCAAGCGTTGGCATCATGTCAGAGAGATTTTCGTAACAAGCCTTATCCCATCCGTACAAAGATTATTTACTATCAGAAGACACTATCTGTAAGTAATTCCAGCTCTCATTATACTGTCCCATATGTATATTTAATGATGTATTTTTAAATAACAGGAACTCATGAGTTAACAGTATACTTTGGAAGTGGGAAGAGAAGTGTGGCAGTCATAATGTATCACCATCGATAAGATCTTTCAGATCTTTCTCAGTCCCAAGACGCAAAGCTTGAGACCCAGAAACAGACTGTTTTATCTTGAATATATAGAATTCTTTATTGGCCAGGTGTGATTGGACACACAAGGAATTTGTCTTAGTGCAAATGCTCTCAGTATACATAAAAGAAAAGATACATTCGTCAAGAGTCAAGAATCATCAGGGTACAATAAGCAATCAAATCATACTAGGAAACAGTCAATATAGATCGTAAGGATACAAGCGACAAAGTTACAGTCATACAGCCACAAGTGGGAGGGGATGGGTGATAAGGAGTGATGAGAAGATTAACAGTAATAGTAGTGCAGACTTGTAATAGTTGAACAGTGTTGAGGGAATTATTTATTTAGCAGAGTGATGGCTTTCGGGGAAAAACTGTCCTTGTGTCTAGTTATTCTGGTGTGCAATGCTCTATAGCATCGTTTTGAGGGAAGGAGTTGAAACAGTTTAGGTCCGGGATGTGAGGAGTCTGTAAATATTTTCACAGCCCTTTTATTGACTGGTGCAGTATACAGGTCCTTGACGGAAGGCAGGTTGGAAATAATTGTTTTTTTCTGCAGTCCTAATTATCCTCTGAAGTCTGTGTCTGTCCTGTTGGGTTGTAGAACCAAACCAGACAGCTATAGAGGTGCAGATGATAAGACTCAATAATTCCTTGGAGGACAAAAGAGATTTTTCATGGACTTTAAAATAATCATACTGGCTGAGGATGATAATTGAAAAAAGCCATTTGTCTGACATAATTTAGTATTTCTACTAAAATGATTTAGGTCACAGGACTGGCAGAAAAGCCTTAGTTGTCTTATTCAACTGATGAACTACGTACAGATCAACTAGATGGACCAGTGTCTATAAAGATTCTTAGTCATTCAGGTCATGGTTGTCCCAAAAGTGCTTTTCCAAAAGGAAACTGAACTTTCTTGGGTTTTTTTCCTTGAAAACATTTCACTTCTAATCTAAAAGGTTTCTTCAGTTCATAGTCCTGTCCAACCTGCAGTCCATGGGCTGCATGCAAGCTCTGGATAGCTAGTAATGCGGCCCCACATGATTGCTATTGTGACTTAGCAATAGCAATAACACTTAGATTTATATACCGCTTTACAGTGCTTTACAGCCCATTCTAAGCAGTTTACAGAGTCAGCCTATTGCCTCCAACAATCTGGGTCCTCATTTTACCGATCTCGGAAGGATGGAAGGCTGAGTCAACTGTGAGCCAGTGAGAATCGAACTGCTAAACTGCAGGCAGCCGACTGGCAGCCAAAGCAGCCTGCAATACTGCATTATAACCATTGCACCACCATGACTGTTTATATACATTCACTATATTATATATTTTATATGCCATCCAAGACAATTCCTCTGTACTTTCTGTTTCATGTAGAGTAAGTAAGCACACTACAGGCCATCACTGTGCAGAAACCATTTTACTAGAGCAGGGGTCCCCAAACTTTGTGGCAACTTTGTGGACTTCAGCTCCCAGAATTCCTCAGTCAGCCAGCTTTGCTGACTGGAATTCTGGGAGTTGAAGTCCACAAGTCTTAAAGTTGCCAAGTTTGGAGACCTGTGTACTAGAGAGTGAGTAATACAACAGGAATAGGAAATGCATCACAGAAACAATAGAGATGAATCCTAGAGTGGCAGTGTGATACAGGAAACAACTAAATAGAGAGGAATGATAGAGCTGCATGTAAGATAGACATAACACCTGTAATGTGCAGCCCAGCCCAGCCAAAAGGTTGGGCAACCATGAGATAGATAAATGGCCTAATTCTGTATCAAGTGACATCATCTCTGTCTTGTTTCTTCCAAGGTATTAATAAACAATGGCTTTACTCCAGACAAAGAAGACTATGAGTTTTGTGCCAAAGTTGAAAACATGGTACTGCCTCCTCAGGGCTACTTTGGCATCTCTGCAGCAACAGGTGGCCTTGCAGGTGATTTTACCATTCAGGTTACCTTTCCCCTGATTATTTTGCCCAAGAAATGATTTCTGTCATTGGGATAGATTGAGTCAAAATGCCTGCAGACTTAATTTCTGTTTAAAAAAAAACCCTGAGGATGGTACAAAGATGATCGTCTTTCTGGATGGCAACAGAAAAATTAAGTAGACTGAGTGTATGGGATCAAGCAGTGGTCCCCTTGCCACTTGTTTACATCATGTAGAAGATGACAGACATGTCCTTTTCAGCCACACCCTAATCTAAATTGAAGGTGTGTTTAAAGGACTGGTATTCTCAGAAAATGGGACGCGGTGGGTCAGTGGCTAAGACTCTGAGCTTGTCGATC